TATCGACTTCGTTAGCTGTCTCTAGAACAACAGTATGGCACACTCATGGTTCTGGGTGATGCATGATTTGGCTACCGAAAAATATGCAACAATATTTTGCAGTTCATCCACATTTTTCATTTCAATGTACACAGGCACGCGTGTGTATCCATGCTCTATCAGAAATGTCTTTATACCTGTAATAAACTTTAACTTTTGAATCTCGCCCTTAGTTAGCTCAGTCTGTTTATTTCACAATGTGGGGACGAGCTGCTATAGCAACATCTGTTGCAGAGTTAATGAATTATCATATTTGATGATATGTTTCTCTTTTGCACGGACTGCACTAGGGTTAATGATTTTTTTTTTTTTTTTGGAAACCAATCTAATGAACATTGAAATTGCTGGCCAATCTGTCTATTTAACTATTCACATGGTTTGATTTCGTTCTTCAGGTTTCAGATGAGATAAAATACATAAAAACATCAATGTGTGACCGGTCCAAGCAGTTGGATGAGCTCCGTACTAGGATGGATGAGAATTCTTCTTTGGAATTTAGTAACAAGAAAGTATTTGAAGATGAAATACTTGGTAACTTGAACTCAATTTTGGCTTCAGACGACAGCAGAAGGTCTGGATTCCATCTTGCACATGAGGAGGAGCAGCAAAATTTTGCTGTATGTCCGCTTTATATTCCAGACATACTCTTTAACTTTTTCTCCATTTGGTCATTGCCTTTGCTAGTCGTGGAAACATCCTGAACTTTTTTTTTTATCTTGCCTTAACAGGAAAAATGGATTCACATGTTCCGTACTCTCATTGACGAGAGAGGTCCCTGGTCTGCTAACCCTTTTCCAAATGCTGCTGTAACACATTGGAAGCTTGACAAGACAGAAGATGCATGGCGACGCAGACCAAAGTTGAAACGGAATTATCATTTTGATGAGAAGTTGTGTCATCCTCCTTCATCCAGCGTTAGCAACCAAGATAATATTCCTACAAGTGATAGTAAAATCAGTTTTGTGGCTCATCATATTCCTGAACAGATGAAGCAGTTTCTACTAAAGGGAATTCGTAGGATAACTGAGGATGGGAACTCAGAGGCTGGTGAAGATGATCCCTGGGCCCAAAAGTCCATGGTACCTGAGGATAATTCAGAGAGACAGATTTCAGAACTAGTAAAAGGGAGTAGTGATCAGAAAGAGATTGTTCAAGAAAAAGGAGAGTCTTCTTCCTCTGCAGAGGCGGATGCCAGTGAGGTACTGTTGTTTGCTCTAAAAAAGAGTGAATTGATAATTGTTTTACAACTTATGGTTACTTGTTTGTTTCAGGTTCTTGTCTCATTTCCATGTGTACTTGTGACGCCAAAGAGGAAAATGGCTGGAAGTTTAGCAGTCATGAAAACTGTCTTGCACTTTTTTGGCGAGTTATTGGTTGAAGGTACTGGAGGTTCATCTGTTTTCAAAAACTTGAACTCTGGACTTAATTCTGAAGCCACCAAGCTTGATCAAAAGAACAAATCTGTTAAAGGGCCAATTCATAATGATTGGAGGCCCGGTAAGGGGATCACTGCTGAAAGGGCAGAGACTGCAAATGAGAATGAGCATGAGAAAAATCTAAAACACATTAAGCGCCACAGGCGATGGTGTATTTCCAAGGTAAACAAATCAATTCATCTGTTCTGAATATGTTTTAAGATCTTGTTCATTGTTTATTTAAATAGTTTACTTGTTGATTATAGATTAAAGCTGTGCATTGGACACGCCATCTACTGAGATACACTGCAATAGAGATCTTCTTCGCTGACTCGACAGCTCCAGTCTTTTTGAATTTTGGGTCATTGAAGGATGCAAAAGAAGTTGGGTCATTGATAGTTGCTACCAGAAATGAATTATTGTTTCCCAAAGGAAGTAATAAGGACAAAAGTGGATACATTTCATTTGTGGACAGACGTGCAGCTGTTGAGATAGCAGAAATTGCCCGAGAGAGTTGGAGGAGAAGGGATATGACCAACTTTGAATACTTAATGATTCTCAACTCACTTGCTGGACGATCATACAATGATTTGACCCAATATCCTGTATTCCCTTGGATTTTGGCAGATTATTCATCTGAGACTCTTGATTTTAATAAGTCATCAACCTTTCGTGATCTCAGCAAACCAGTGGGTGCATTGGATCAGAAGCGGTTTGAGGTCTGTTCTTTTTTCTTTTTCTTTATTTCTTTTGTTTATACTAGCTGATATCCCTTTAACGTAGTAAAACTTCTGCGTGTACTGTTCATCTGACAGGTTTTTGAAGATAGGTATCGTAACTTTTCTGATCCTGACATACCCAGGTAACCCATGTGGCATTATGTTTATTCTCTGTTCGCTTTGTTAATAGCCTGTTCAAGCTACTGATTGTTTTCTTAACCCAGCTTCTACTATGGCTCTCATTACTCAAGCATGGGAATCGTGCTGTACTACCTTCTTAGATTAGAGCCATTTACATCTTTACACCGTAATATGCAGGTACTAGTTTTTGCTGGTTTCTTTTATTTATTTGGCGTTATCGGTAGTTGTAAATCGTTGCAAAACTAATTCTGAACTAATGAAACATAGTATCTTTTGCAAGTACCTTGAGATTTCGGCTTCTTCACCTGGCTTTTCTCATGAGTTGATTTTTTGTAGCTTCAGTTATGTAATTTCTTTGTCCTTCCTACAAATTTAGGCCATCTTTTGGCTGTTCTCAGCATGAGTTCTTTTTAAGAGAGACAGTGGGTTGTTTATCTAGTCTGAGATGAAGATAATCAAACTTAAAAATTTCATTGGTGCCGACATGAGTGCTGGGTAAAAATTGATTTAGGTTTTGCGAAACTTCTAACCAGTAATGCGAGAGGTCAAACATTCCAAAACTGAGAGCAACATTGCAAGAGAAAATGTTAACCTTGATGAATAGTAATGATTTGTTGAATTTAGAAGCTTTAGAAGATTGTTGGTTTATTTATGCTTCTAGTTAAAATTGGTAGAAGTTTTGTTGGAGTAAGCTCAAAACATAGGCATAGAGTAAGCTGCATTTAAATTCCATGTTGTGAGGAGAAAAGGGAACATACTCTCAACTCCAACGTTTGTTGACAGGTTTGCTTGCTGCTTTAAGTGATGAATGTGCGGGAACCTCCTCTCCTCGCTTCCTCTTCTTATTTGCTTGATATCTGTACCCCTTAGTAGCTTAGGATTGATGATTTTCTCAGTTTTGGCTTATATGAGCTATGTTATTGAAGTAAAGTTACAGGTGTTGTGCAATTCACGAAGTTTTTTGCACCTTTTCTTTAGCTATGAGCCATTTTTGTTTAACAAAATCAGTTGGATGTCAAGGTTGAAGCACCTTACTCAGCATGAAAATTTCCTTTGTTTGGGTTTGGTAAAAAGTTCCATTTACCTTATTGTTTTTCAGGGTGGTAAATTTGATCATGCTGATCGTCTTTTTCAAAGTATCGAGGGTACATTTCGGAATTGTCTTTCTAATACAAGTGATGTGAAGGAGTTGATTCCCGAGTTCTTCTACATGCCGGAGTTCCTTGTTAATGCAAACTCTTATCATCTTGGCGTCAAACAAGATGGAGATCCAATCAGTCATGTTTGTCTCCCTCCCTGGGCTAAGGTTTGTCTATTTTCTAAGTTATATCTCACATTTTCCGTCATGTTTTTCTGTTTATAACTGATTATATGGAAGTTAACTCTTTTTCAAATAACTCCTTTAAATAGGAGTTACAAACTTTACCCAAAAGAAGATTGGTTCTAGCATAATCATAAGTTCATATAAGTTTTTTACTTCCATGAGGAAGCCAATGAAAATTTCAAATAAGTAAGACAAAAGAAAATTTGTAAAGAGTTTTATATGGTCATTCTTGAATGACCAGTCTTGCACATATCAATCCTGTGTGGCAGATACATACTGCTGCTTTATTTTGCTGATGATGTGTAGACTGGTATTGTTTAGTTGCTACTTTCGTCGACACTTAATGTTTGTTCTTAATATTCTGTTACAGGGTTCTCCTGAGTTATTCATAAAAATGAATAGGGAGGCACTTGAAAGTGAGTATGTAAGCTCGAATCTTCATCACTGGATTGATTTGGTGTTTGGTTGTAAGCAGAGAGGAAAACCAGCAGTAGAGGTATTGCCATTTGTGTTCACCAAACGGTTGAATTTCTTTGGAATCTTGAACATGCTTGGCCGTTGACTTTCTGTCCTTCCTAATTTCCTTGGGTTCCACTGCAGGCTGCAAATATCTTTTACTACTTAACTTATGAAGGTGCAGTGGATCTGGAAACAATGGATGATGATTTACAGAGATCAGCAATTGAAGACCAAATTGCAAATTTTGGTCAGACACCGATCCAAATTTTTCGTAAGAAACATCCAAGAAGAGGACCGCCTATCCCAATTGCTCATCCTTTGTACTTTGCTCCTGATTCTATCAATTTGACATCTATTGTGACTAGTATTTCACCATCAGCTGTATTATATGTTGGTCTTGTGGACTCAAACATAGTGATCGTTAGCCAAGGGCTAACACTGTCGGTGAAGCTATGGTTGACAACTCAACTGCAGTCTGGTGGCACTTTTACTTTCTCAGGTTCTCAGGTGAATATATCTCCGGAAAACACTAATGCTCGGGAATTCTTGAAAAATGATGCATCTTTTCATTGAAACTTTAATTGGTTTCATACTCCAGACTAACAAATATTCAACTGTGTACAGGATCCATTCTTTGGAGTTGGAGGTGATGTACTCTCTTCTCGAAAAATTGCAAGTCCGTTGGCTGAAAATTTTGAAATCGGAGCTCAATGCTTTGCGACAATGTTATCACCAGCTGAGAATTTCTTAATCTCATGTGGGAATTGGGAAAATAGCTTTCAAGTTATTTCGTTACATGATGGCAGGACAGTGCAGAGCATTCGCCAGCATAAAGATGTGGTCAGCTGTGTCGCAGGTACTTTGACAATAGTATTTATATAATTATATTATATGTAGATCTTATCTCAGAGTCCAGGGACGAGGGTGTCAAAATGAAAAGTTGGAGTTGAAAATAAAAGAAGATAAATAGAGTTTGAAAATACTTTCACATCTTATGAAATTCCATGTGTTTCATGGGGGCATTTGGTTGATGGAATGTGGATTTAATTCCATCTTGTGATGGGAAGTGAAACCCTTGTGTTTGTTTCGTCTCTTAAGGGGCACAAATGTGAGGCATAATCTAGTAGTTGAAATCCAAATTCCCTAGAGGAGCGGTAGGATTTCATGCTTCATGGTTAAGTTCTGGATTGTTCTCTTTCTTTAAGTTTATTAATTGATACAATGGTAAATAAAATTCCTTCCTTCAGTTAAAACTCCCTCTTAAAGAAAGTTCATCCCAGCAAAATACTCTCGAAAATCTATTCCTATCACATTTCATGCATTTGTATTCGATGTACTGCAACATTCACAGAACGAATCTGTTACTGAATCTTATGAATCTGGTGTTGCCTCTTGTGACCTTGTTGTCTTTTATCTAAGACCCTTTTTATCGTGCAGTGTCTGCTGATAACACTATCCTTGCAACTGGAAGTTATGATACCACTGTAATGGTGTGGGAAGTAGTACGTGCCAGAGGCCACGAGAAAAGAGTTAGAAACGCACAAACAGAAGTACCTCGTAGAGACCACGTGATTGCTCAAACCCCATTCCATATCCTCTGTGGTCATGACGATATAATCACCTGCTTGTTTGTTAGTGTGGAGCTCGATATTGTCATCAGTGGTTCAAAAGACGGGACTTGTATTTTCCATACCCTTAGGGAAGGCCGATATGTGAGATCTTTGCGCCATCCATCTGGCCATCCACTGTCAAAGCTTGTTGCTTCGAGGCATGGGCATATAGTGTTCTATGCCGAGGATGATCTTAGCCTGCATCTCTACTCTATCAATGGCAAACATCTGGCAAGTTCCGAATCAAATGGGCGCCTCAACTGTATTGAACTCAGTAGGTGTGGTGATTTTTTGGTCTGTGCTGGTGACCAAGGGCAAATAGTTGTGCGATCGATGCACAATCTCGATGTTGTGAAGAGGTATGTGGGAGCTGGAAAGATGATCACAAGCCTAGCGGTGACTCCAGAGCAATGCTTCTTGGCTGGGACCAAAGATGGACACATTTTAGTTTACTCGATAGAGAATCCCCAACTCCGCAGAGCTGGTGCTGCTAGGAACAAGACAAGAGGCTCTGGGCCGTTGTAGATCGATCAGGTTGTCTGCAAGTAACAATCACTGCTCGGTTGTCACGATCGTATTCACAACAGGTATGCAAACTTTATTTCTGTCTGTTTCAATTGAAGCCATGGCCGTGCATGCTGATTATCGTGCTTTGCTTCTTCGAGATTTTGACGTATGGAAATAAAACGGCTTGGTGATGCAAATTGCCACTATTAAGTAGAAATCTTGCTAGTATGAATGACAACTTTTACCTGACTCATTAGCTCTGGTCTGCTTGGGGTAGATATCATGGGGCCGGAATCTGTTTTATATGATATTTATTCAAAGCATTCCCATTTGAACTACTATTAAACGATATTATTAATATAACTGGGAAGTGGCCATCTCTCATATAATGAACTTTCATACTCCATTTTATTCTCTCGCTTTTATTTATAAAAAAAAAAAATTGTTCTTGAATCTCTTAAGAAAGAATCGACTTGTTTGGTCGTTTTTCTTTGAGTTGCATAATAAGTCCCTCTATCGTGACACATACCCTAAACAAAATTACTCAACTTGACTAGTGCCTGGTGCAAATCTGTTAAGGTATTGAGATAAGCCGCCTTGCCCCACTGCCATTCCTACTTGCTAGAGTGAGAACGGACTCTATCCCCCTTTTTTTGTTTGGCAAACATATTCATTCTCTTAATTTTATTTTCTGCAGAAGCTGGCTTGAAGAATCCAGAGACTGAGTTCTGCTGAAATTACTTGGACCACAGTTTTGCTAACACAGGAGGTTTTGGTTTTAGGCATTCTGGAGATGAACTGTGAGGTGCTGATTTTCAGCTGAGACTTGCAGCGCTACAGACTAGCTGAAATGCTGGTCATGTTGCCTTCTTAAGATTCAGCTGCAGCCGCCAATGAAAAGGGAAATGCTCGCTCTTGCGGCTGGGTACTTGGATTTGTGGATACATCCTTATGCATACTTGTATTTGTATACCTACCTACCTGTACATTGTATAGTCTTGATAGAGGGAGAAAATGCTACCCAAAACTTGGTCTAACAGCTGACAATGCCAGCAGCTCTCAGGTCTATTATTATCATCTTCAGGTCATTTGTTGTTAGGTGATAGAGAACAGAAACTGGACATTGTACAGATGGAAACCCACCCTCGATGTCATCTACGGGAAATGGTGGCAATTTAGTACCGGTTATGGCTACTGTTTTTACTTATTTAAGATTTAGAAAAAGAGCAAGCACGGGTACGGCATCGATACTCCAGTATCAAATATTGAACTCTCAAATATCGAATTACAACCTAAAATCAATCTCAACCCAAAAATAAATTCGGTATCTCAATCCCAATCCAAAAATGTTTAGGAATTTCAATCGGTATTTTCGAATACGATACTATGCAATCAATAGATGATGGTAATAACACCCGTATTCCTCATCATTTTAAAAGTTTGTAGGCTTAAAAAGTTTGCTTATGAGAATGTGATGCGAGAAAAGTTATAAAAACTTATTGAAGTTATAATTAATTGGATTCAATCAAGTCTTCATCGAACTTATTCATTATAGGTTCTCATTTAGCGCAGACAGACTAGACAAAGGGTTTTGAGTCTGTCTAGCGCTAAGACATGATTAAGGAGAAGGGAGGAGATGATGATATCACCATTTCTCCTCATTGGTAATCTTTAATTCGATGGATTGGAGGTTCATATTTAGCGCAAAGTGACTAGACAAAGGGTCTTGAGTTCGTCTAGAGCTAGGACATGGTTAAGGAGGAGGGAGGCGATGATGATATCTCCGTTTCTCATCATTGGTAATCTTTAATTCGATGGATTGGAGGTTGAGAGATAACTAATGAGAATGTCTGTTTTTAAAATGTCATGAAAATAACAAGAGATTGAGTGCGAGACGAGAGTGACTTAAATTTGAAAGCAAAAATTGGGTTGGATGGTGGCTTGTGAGTTGGCAAAGATTGAAGAAGAACCAAAGTATGTGCTATATTTAATTAATTTTTTATTTTTGTTGTTTCTCAGTATTTTGGTATTTACTGATCACAATCTCGTAATCTCGAATACCAAATAACACTTCAAAATGAATCACAATCTCAATCCTTAAAAATAATTGTGTGTTCGATAATTTGTAATGCAAGTCATATCCATTTGTATTGTTTAATATTTTGTAATAAATGCAAGTCTTATTCATTTCTATAGTATGTAGACACAATTTGAAATGACAAAAGTTTATGGTTAGCAGCAAATCAGTTTGATTTGTAATGCAAGTCATATCCATTTGCATTGGAAGTAATTTGTAATGTAAATTAGTTGTAATGTACATCAGTCTCTAATGTAAGTAGTTTGTATAATATGTAACATGGTTGGTATGATGTGGTATTTTAGTTTGTATACTATGTATTCATAGTTTGTGATGTTTGTCAATCTCATTTGTAATGTAAATTAGTTGTAATGTACATTGGTCCCGTTTGTAATGTAAGTAGTTTGTATAATATGCAATACTAGATAAATGGCCCGCGCTCTGCCGCGGTTATTGTAATTTGAGTTATCTTATTTCAAGATAATTGGTTTGCGCTCTGCAACAAATTGTCATCAAAACGATTGTATCAACAAGTTAGCTTTCAAAAAATTTATGTCGTAGTTTGTGGTGAATGTCCTTATAAATAAAATGAACACTAATTGTAAGTTCATTCATCTTTGATAAACTACAATAATTTTGGACTAAATAGTTGGATTAATTAGATAAATGGATTGGATGAATGAATGCCTCGTACCTAAGTTTAATTTTTTTATGTCCCATACAAATAACTGGGAGAAGGTTAGAGTGAGTAGCTGGAAATTATGAGCATTTACAGGACACTAACACAATTGTGAAGAACAAATTTAAGTTTTAACCCCAAGGCAAAAGTAAAGGTCCGTTTAAAGTAAATTAAAAAAGAGAATGGTTTACCATGAGATGTAGATCCTTCCTTGATGAAATTATCTTATCCACTTAAAAAGCTATCTTTCCTTTTCAAAGGGAAGAGAATATAATGTCAAATTTTTACATACACCATAGCATCCTTCATCCTTGAGATCAAAAGATTTGTACAGAAATGATAATTATGATAAGGATGAATGACATAATGCACATTTGCTTTTACTTCCAGCATCCATCAGCTCCAAATTGTGCCTCGTTTCATTCTAAGTTGTAAGAAGATCACACTTTTAAACTTGTACTCTTTATTTGAAGCATTTTCCTGTGGAATATATGGCTGAGGGAGGTAATTCGTAACCACCATCAGTTCAAGATCAAACACACAAATACATGAAATTAAGAACTGGTATGCTAAAGCCATCCAAGAGTTATAAAATCCATGTTTCTCATTCATAATGATCTCTTAGACTTAATTAAGTATTCTAATTGGTACTGGTTAGGGACACTTCATTGATTGATTGGAGGCTTTTCCAAATTTTTAGTTCTGTGTAAATATAAAAAACTTAAGGCAAAAGAAGACTCCAAGATACATCAGTTAAAACAACATTGTGCCACTTGAAGAAATCTAAAGCAATTCAACTATAATGCAATAAAATCACTGAGAATCAAGGAAGTAGAGTTAATATTGTTAAGATTTAGAAAATGAAGTAGAACCGTAATATACCACGATCTCACTAAATGAAGTGGAGCTGACATGCATGTATGTCCACAGCATGTAGCCCACAAAATGCTCTTAAATTGAAGTCTTCCAATCCAATCCAAACCATGGTCCATGAAATCGTACCGGAGACCGTACCGGAAAAGTCAGCGATAGGGTATTTTATGACAAAATCGTTGTTTAACCGTAGTTCAACCGTTAGTACCGTTAAATACCGCCTATCGGTTTAGCCTCCGATACTGGTATTTTGTGGTTGAACCGTCGGTACGGTTTAATGGACCATGATCCAAAACCATCTATGCGCCAAACATGGTAATTTATAGGATATCATAAGAACAAATCCAATTGTAATTTATACAGATCGAGGTGGGTTAGCTGTCAGGTGGAAGGCACCAAATAATTGGTATCCAAGTGCTGTGTAGCTTTCAAGCCAAAGGAAGTATCACAATCTCCTTGTACATCAAAGAATTAGTGGATGCAACACCCATTAATTAGTGACATAGATCTGTGAAACAGGAAAAGCAGTTGACACAACAGAAGTTAAGGTTTCAAAAGAGAGACAAGTAATCCAAGTTATCTGTTACCTTCCATAGGATTAGGAACTCAGCTGTGGTTCCATTCCATAGTTGAATTCTATGTGGAAGTACGTGCAATATCTCCTGTGTTAACAATTCCCCTTATAATCATCTCTCTAAGAGTATATAATACGTACCTTAACTTTATAAAGAGATGGGACAAACTTTAGATGAAAATAGAGATATCAAAACAAACTTTTGATCCTTGTAAAGCATGACAGACGACATCGACCGATTGAGAAGACAGACATACGACATCGATCGGATTAGGACATAGAAACTGACAAAAAGTAACATATATCAGTATATAGAATTCAACACCTCAAGCTCACTCATCCTATCTGAATCTGATGATTATTTAATAACTACTTGATTCCTGCATATATATGCCAAATTGTCAATCAGCAAAGTAATCAGCAAAGTAATAGAAACGGGGGTGAGTGACAGAGGGGAAATTAAGGCGAAACACCAAAGGAAGAAGCCAGCTTGGCCAACCTCCTGGTCCTGCTTGAGAACTGCGTCGCATATTAGAAAGGGGTAACAACTTACCTAGCCGCCGCCACTCGTTCTTCGCAGGAAGGAAGATCCGAAAAGAGATTAGTTATGTGAGAGAGAGATTGGGGACGGAGGTAATGAAGGGATCTCGCTAGAGGAAGGGCGCACAGGAGCTTATGGTGGAGACGCCCACACCCCACTGGACCCCTAATGCAAAACCAACCCACCCCTCTCTTCTCTCATTTTCCTTCCCTTCCTTTCTACAGCAGCTTCTCCGTTATTCATTCCCCTTTCCGTTTCTCTTCCCACAACACCCCTCAATTCCTTACTTACAACCTTTTCTTCTTTTCGGCTTCCCAACGTTCTAATCCATGGCAGAAGAACAAGCTAAGAAGGCCGAGCCCGAATGCCCTGCCCCTCCCACAGCCGGTCCTCCGGCAGCTGCAGCTCCTGCTGACGAACCACCAAAGGACGTGGCCGAGGAGAAATCCGTAATTCCGGTCACTCCTCCTTCAGAGGACAAGTCTGATAAACCTAATGACTCCAAGGCCATCGTACCCGTTGAGAGTAATTACCTTCCTTCCCCTCCACTCTGCTTTCTGGGTTCTGATTATTTTGTTGCAACTCTGCCAAAATTTCGTTTCTTTTTTACCCTTTTACTCTGTTTTGAGATGACTTGCTAGAGAGTGAGCCACTGACTGACTGCCGCATCATAAATACATATTGTTAAATTTTGCTATGGATATATAGAATTCCCCCTTTTCATGTCCCCAGATTCCCTCAGAAATCTTTGTTATGCATACAAGAATTGATTTTTTTTTTTTTTTTTGGGTTGGTTGGTTTGGGAAACAGAGGTGGCAGAAGCTGCAGTGGAAGAGGCAAAGCCTGCCGAGGGCTCTATCAATCGAGGTAATTCACAAACCCTTTTCCCTTTCTGAGTTCCAGATTTTCATAGCTTCGGTTTGGTTGAATAAAGGAAGTAACTTTTTTCCTTTGTTTGTTTGTTTGCTGTATGGGTGTGGGTTTTTAGATGCTGTGCTTGCCAGAGTTGAAACAGAGAAGCGGACTTCTCTCATCAAAGCTTGGGAAGAGGCCGAGAAGAGCAAAGCTGAGAACAAGTAAGAAGAAAACCCTTCCAACTCTCATTTCATTCCCTTCCCTTTTCTCCATTTCCAGTGCCTAATTGGGTTTTTGCCCTGTTTTCCGGGAACCAGAGCTCAGAAGAAGATCTCTGCAATCGAGTCATGGGAGAACAGCAAGAAAGCGAAAGTCGAGGCGGAGCTCAAGAAGCTAGAGGAACAACTGGAGAAGAAGAAAGCAGAGTACGCCGAGAAGATGAAGAACAAGATCGCCCAAATCCACAAGCAAGCCGAGGAGAAGAGAGCCATGACCGAAGCGAAACGAGGCGAAGAGCTGCTGAAAGCAGAGGAGATTGCTGCAAAGTATCTGTGAAATGGCGATGTTCCTTCTTCGATTTAGGGATTTGAATCGCCGATTTGGGAATGAGAGTGAAAGACAATGACTGACTCAGCAGCCAGATCAGTGTTATTGATCGAATGGGCCCAATGACAATTAGGCCCGCAACTCAGCAGTAGAGCTTCGGTGGGCTTTAAAATAAACGGGCCCAGGGCTTTCTTCAGAGAAGAGACGAAGAGCAATCTTCTTCTTCTTCCCTGATTCAGTTTTGCCTTCCAACAGAGCACCAAAGAACAGAGTACTGCAGATGCAGTAGAGAGACAAGAGGCAGGAAACGAAAGAACACAGCGAGATTTTTAACGAGGTTCGGCACTGGGCTACTCCTCGTCCCGGAATAGTACTCACTATTCTGAGAGACTCTTTTGATTTTCTTTGACTAAAAAGGAGAAAGAAGAACGACGCAATTACAACGAATGTGAAAATCAAAGAGCTTGACTCAAGACCCGAATTCGCACAGGAATTAGTTACAACCTCTGATCAACTGAACCTCTACCTCAGAGTGATCAGAGCCACTGTTTTAACCCCAATTCCCTGCCCTGTACCGCTAGGGATTTCTCCAAAACAGCTGCTCCCAAGTTCTACAGAGGAGATGAATTTATAACCTTTCTTTTCCTTGCTGGATAGCCGTTGGGGCTGCAGGTTTGAATCATGATTAGCTCGGCTCCCCCTTGATTGATGCATCCTTTCCATCTTTGGTTCAATCCAATCTGTCAACTTGATTTGATGAGATTCTTCAGCCTAACAATCTCCCCCTAAGTTTAAGATTGCTGATTGACTCGTTGAAACCTGCATACAAGAGCAAACACCTTTCCCAGAGCAACACAAAGATGGAATCCACAAAAAGGTTCTGAACAAATCTCATAACACAGTAATAACCATTCAAAAGCTGGTGAGACACGTCCAGCAAAACCAAACTGCTAAGGCCAACACAAAAGCTGGTGAGACATGTCCAGCAAACCAGAAACAGACTATTCAATCAATCACTTCAACTGGTAAAACATGTCCAGCAAACCAGAAAGATAGTCAGCACTCAAGTAACTCAATCAGATCCATAGATATCACGAATATCCTGCAAGGCAGCAAAGACCTCATCCAAAGGAGGTGGGTCAGTGGAGTCAGATGATTCTGAGTCAGATGAGTCTGACCCAGAAGAATCACTACTGATCCAGTTGACTTCTAAGTCATGACCATCACCACCTTCCTCAGGATCTTCTTCAGGATCCTCCTCAGCAGATTCTTCCTCTAGTTCTGCATCATCCTCCCCCTCAACGATGTCATCCGCAATCTCATTAAGAATGTCATCCGCGTTCAGAAACACATTAGGAGTGGTGGTACGGAATGGATCAAGAGAAATCCCAAGGCGAAGAATGAGACGGGTGATGAGAGGGCCAAAGGGAAGATGTCCCAGATATTCAAACTGCTGAAAGGGATATAACCCTCCCAATAACAGATGACAGTAATCCAGAGGGACACTGGCAGTGGCATGAGTGATGATCCAGAGATCAAGGGGGGTGACTCTGTCAAGCAGTACAGTCCTAGGAAGGAACCTACGAGTGAGGAGAAAGTGAAAAGTACGCAGGGAAGGCAACAAAAATGCAGAGGGGAGGGTGAGTAATGCATCAGGGGTGTGACCAGTGAGATGAACAAACTCATGTTCAATGTTGAAGTTGAAATGCACCAGTTCAGTCTCATTGGCGAGGACTTCTCCTACCCTAGGGATATGCAAGAGATGGCGGAGATATTCAAGCGGGACAGTGACTAGATGGCCATACACTAGAGTGGTGAAGGTACGAGTGTGGAGTCCAAACGAACGAAAGTTCGAATAGAACAACCTCACTGCTTCAGGACAAACATACTCAACAGGAGCAGCCATAAGAAAGTCCCAACCTAAGTTATGGAGATATTGAGAGACATCTAACCCATACTCTGCTAAGTCAGGAAAAGGAACATGATAGGTAGGGATAATAGGGCGACGAGCAAAGGAAACAGCATGGCGATGAGAGTTTGCAGGAATTGGGTCATGAAACAGAGTACCTGTATACGTGCGAGAAAAACCTAGAACCATTGCAACTAGAAGCTTAGACTCTAAGAACAAGAGGATTGAATGAATGATACGAGACTCGACTAGACTCCCTTAAATAAGCTACCACAAAAAGAGAAGGTAAGGTAAGTACTGACAAAACAGGAAAAAAGAAAAATACACAGACTCAAAACAAGAAAGAAAAGTAAAGGAAAGAGTCACCGAGAAATCAGCTAGGATTCTCCAAATGATCTGGAGATCTCAAACCAATCTCATAACAAAGGAAGGTGAATCGATCAGCATTCAAGGCTTTAGTAAATATATCCGCCAGTTGGTACTCAGTAGAGATACGACTAATATTAATAATATTCTGTTGAACTAAATCCCTTATAAAATGATATTTAATTTCTATATGTTTGGTTCTTGAATGCTGAACAGGGTTTTTGGACATGCAGATGGCGCTAGTGTTGTCACAGAAGAGGGGAATGGGTTCAGAGGACACATTGTAGTCCTTAAGTTGATTCTTAAGCCAAATGAGTTGAGTACAACAGCTGCCAGCAGCTATGTACTCTGCTTCAGCGGTAGAGAGGGCAACAGCACCCTGTTTCTTACATGACCAAGAAACTAGGGAGGTTCCTACAAATTGACATGTCCCTGTGGTGCTTTTTCTATCAGTCAAACTACCTGCAAAGTCTGAGTCACTATATCCTAAGAGAGTAAAGTTGTCATGTTTAGGATACCAGAGACCAATATCTGGGGTTCCTCTAAGATACCTAAATATTCTTTAAACAGCCTTAAAGTGACTCTCCTTAGGAGCAGCCTGAAATCTGGCACAAAGACATACACTATGCTGGATGTCAGGTCTACTGGCTGTAAGATATAGTAGTGAGCCAATCATGCCTCTATACTTGTTTTCATCTACTGGAATACCGGACTCATCCTTATCCAGTTTGAGGTTTACAGCCATGGGGGTGGGACAGGGTTTAACATTGTTCATATCAAACTTGGACAACATGTTCTGGAGGTATTTTGATTGATTTATGAAAATACCAGTTGAAGTTTGTTTGACTTGAAGTCCAAGAAAGAATTTTAATTCACCCATCATGCTCATTTCAAACATAGATTGCATAGTTTCACAGAATGCAGTGCAGAGGGTAGGATCAGTTGATCCAAAAACTATGTCATCCACATAAACTTGAACTAACAAGATTTCCCCTGACTCATGTTTGATAAAGAGAGTTTTATCAATGCTTCCTTGAGAGAAGGAGTTATCTAAAAGAAAGGTTGTGAGGCGTTCAAACCAAGCTCTGGGAGCTTGTTTGAGTCCATACAAAGCTTTGTTGAGTTTGTAAACATATTCAGGATGTTCAAAGTCGATGAATCCAGGAGGTTGAGCAACATAGACTTCCTCCTGAATGATTCCATTTAGGAAAGCACTCTTAACATCCATTTGATATAGAGGAAATCCTAGGTGACTAGCAAAAGCACACAGTAATCTGATTGACTCAAGTCTAGCAACAGGGGCAAAAGTCTCATCGAAGTCTATTCCTTCTTCCTGAAGATATCCCTGAGCAACTAGCCTAGATTTGTTTCTAACTATTCCCTCTTCATCAGATTTATTTCGATAAATCCACTTAGTTCCTATGACTGTGACATTTTCAGGTTTAGGAACTAAATCCCAGACATGAAGATGTTCAAATTGAGTTAGTTCTTCTAACATAGAGAATCCCCATTCCTCATCAAGCAATGCTTCTTTAATATTTTTAGGCTCAAACTGGGAAACAAAGGCATATTGACCAGGAGTATACTTACCTCTGGTTTTTAGGCCATCATTCAGCTTGCCAATGATAAGATTTTCTGGATGCCTTCTTTGTATGTGTGGTGGAGCCTGAGGAACTTGTGAGGTATCTTGTGAGTCAAGGGAAGGTTCTTCCAGGTCTGATGGTGTCACTATTCTCTCGTTATGATCCTGTTCACTAGAGAAATCTTGACCAGACGAAGTCAGTTCATTTAAATCAAAGTGTAAAGTCTCATCATGTACCACAAAATCTGATTCATTGAACTTGACATGAACTGATTCTTCTACTTTCTTTGTTCTTTTATTGAAGATTCTGTATGCTTGTCCTTTGGATGAGTATCCCAAGAAAATAGCAGAATCTGATTTGGCATCAAATTTTCCAAGGTTGTCTCTAGTGTTGAGAACAAAGCAAGGACAATCAAAAGGATGAAAATAGGCAATGCTAGGAGTTTTTTCTTTTAGTATCTCATAGGGAGTTTTATTAATTTGCTTACGAACTAAGACTCGGTTGATAGTGTAACAAGCAGTGTTGACAGCCTCAGCCCAAAAGTGTTTAGGAAGATTGTAGTCAAGCAACATAGTCCTTGCACACTCTATGAGAGTTCTGTTTTTCCTCTCAACAACTCCGTTTTGTTGAGGAGTACGAGGGGCAGAAAAGGTGTGTTTTATTCCAAAATCATCACACAGGTTTTCAAAAAGTTCTGAAATGAACTCTCCACCATTATCACTCCTGATGTTTTTGATGTTGAAGTTGAGTGAGGCAAGAAAGATTTTGAATTTTTTAAACGTTTCATCTTTATGAGATAGAAAATACACCCAAGAGAACCTAGAAAAGTCATCTACCAACACAAAAACGTAGTTCTTACCACCTAGGCTGGTGACATTACAAGGACCAAACAAGTCCATGTGAATGAGTTCATAGGGGCAAGTAGTAGTAATGTCTGGTTTGGCTTTGAAACTCTTACGTTTATGTTTACCAGCAGCACATCGTATTGATTTGTAATGTAGGTAGTACTGATTTGTAAAGATCATAGCTTGTACTATTTATCAATAATAACGTTTGCATTGTTTGGCAATCTGTCAGGATTCACCCACCTAGAATTCCATGGTACAAAGTTTTGTGGAGTATATTTCTTGTTCTCAGGCATCGTTTTCCTGACTTGGTTGGTGCTCTGGAATAGAATCAAAACTTTAGTGCAACACAAAAGCTAAGGATTTGCAAGCTCCCTGATAATTGTTTGATGTGTGATATGGTAGCAGAAACCAATGATCATCTCGTTCTTCAGTTGTACCTTCTCAAAAGCAGTGTTATCTGGTTTATTTCCTTTGATAAACCTGGGCAAATGATTGAACTGGGATTGTGGTGATTAGAATTTGTAGTCTAGTATAGTTCATCCGAGTGGAAGAAATGGGATGGTTCGACTGAAAACTGCATATCGTAATCCAAATCGGTAGTCCGTATTATTGATATGAAATGATTGAAACACGATTTATTGCCAGAAGCTTCAGTTGGGATTCGGTGAAAGCTCGTCTGTAAATAACTCTGTATTTCCTGCACAAGTTGAGTACTGCGGGGTGAAACCAGTACGAAAGTGAAGTGAAGAATGAAAAAAGGGTAAGGTATCAACGTGCAATGAATGTGGCGATCAATGATCATGAAACACGACCTGACAATGGCTGAGTACAACAGTAGTAGGACAGTGGAGGAGAGCAATAAATGTAAAACGGAGATTGAAGATGCTCATCGCTCTCTGTTCCTTAGCAATGATGATAAAGAACAGAGCAGAAGAACAGTAGTGTAAGAAGTAAACAGAAGGCAAGAGAGAAGATACAACTTTCCCAATTCATTCATTCGTTCTGGAAATCGCAACTTTTTTTTATGTACACACACTGGACCAGACAGCACACTGCTAATGATGTTCATCAGCTTTACAACTACTTTCATTCAATACACCCTCTGCTTCTCTTAGCTCTGCCAATTTAGACTAAATAATGTGTGGTTTCGGTCAGTTCATCATCTCCACTGCTCATTCATCCGCCTGAGTTTGTGGCTTTCTCTCTCATTACCCAATTCCTCTGTTTTCAGGTATGGATATGAGTCCTCTGTTTTTCTCCTTCAATTATGAAAAATGGGTGATCCTGGGAATCGGCCACTCACACTCTTTTGCCCGGTACGGATGCTATGGGGGGAAAAGGGTTGGTGATAATTAAACTTTCCCCATGAACTTCTGGTGGGGGCCTTCAAAACTGCCATTTTTTTTCTCTCCTGTGTACTTGGCAGTTGTATATTACACACAGTTTCTGTTCCCATGGAACCATCAGGTCGAAACTTTCTCATCCTGTTTTTTGCTTTTAGGATCAAACTTCACCTTCCCCTGTTTTCCAACCATAGTCTGGTTGCCTGAACCCAGAAAGGCAAGGTCTTTTTCTACCCTGTTATAGTAAGGTGAAGTTGCATTTCTTCTCTGTAACTGCAACTGCGTGCGTTTCTTACCCATCCAGCTTTAAGTGTGAAATCTCTCTCAGGCGTGGTTGTGATCAAGTGCAGAGGGGCTTCGTGTAGAAACAAATGGTGAGGGTTTTTGCCGCTGCAGTGGAGGAAGGCAAAGCAGGGGGAAACGGGAAACCATCAGTTGGTCCTGTTTACCGTAATCTGCTGTCCAAGAATGAATTCCCTTCTCCTGATCCAGATATCTCCACTGCTTGGGATCTTTTCAGGTTCTCTCTCTCTCTCTCTCTCTCTCTCTAAACATTGCCTTGTGAAGAATCTATGTATCAGTCATTTTGGGCTTTGACTAAAACCTTCACTTTGTTCAGTGTATCAGTCAAGAAATACCCTGACAGTAAAATGCTAGGATGGCGAGAATTCGTTAATGGGAAGGTAATAAGAAAGAATCCACCGTTTTAGGGATACACTGATTTTGGTTTCGGAAGCAACTGAACTCTTGATTGTTGTTTGTTGTTATAGTATGGGGGTTATCAATGGAAGACTTACAAGCAAGCGAATGAGGAAGTTCTGCGAATTGGTTCTGCATTGAGAGCCTCTGGGGCTGAACCGGTAACTAGCCATCCTCTCACATTCTACTAACTAAACATGGGAGGGGGGAAAATGAAGAAGCTCACTGCTTTCTTGTATCAAACAGGGCTGCCGGGTTGGTGTTTATGGCGCGAACTGCCCCGAATGGACTGTCGCAATGGAGGTAATGTGTGGTGTGGCTATGAAATCGGATTCGACATTGCTCGTCTCTTTCTTTCTTTCTTTCTTTCTTTCTTCCATATGAACATTATTGGAAGTGACATGTCATGTGAAATTGTTATTAGGCTTGTGCTGCCCACAGTTTGGTCTGTGTACCTCTCTATGATACTCTTGGTAAACTCCTGCAGCCATTCACAATTTCTCCTTGCCTTATTCTTCTACATTTGCGCAACTTAATCGTGGAGATTAGATTGATAATGTATGCTAAATGGGGCGTGAGTGCAGGTCCAAATGCTGTCAACTTTATAATAGATCATGCAGAAGTGGATTTCGTTTTCGTGCAAGACAAGAAAGTGAAAGAAGTAAGCCTACTGCATACCATTTATGATAATGTTCTTCAGGATGAGAAAGAAAAAACATTGCTCTAACATTGGTTAGTAAGTTGCAGCTACTGAACCCTAGTTGCAATGCTGCTGGACGACTTAAAGCTGTCGTTTGCTTCACTTCCCTGACAAATGAGCACAAGGAGAAAGCAGCTGAACTCGGGACGATACCCTATTCCTGGCAGGAGTTTCTAGTGATGGTATTACTTGGTTTGCTGACAAAATCCCATTTATGTATCCTTTTTTCATGGATTTCTGTTCCATTCATTGAATAGTTGTTTTGACTCTACTGTTGTTGGTGTTTCCATAAAGGGTAAGGAGAATCCAACGGAGATAGTGCCACCACAGCCGTTCAACATTTGTACGATTATGTACACGAGTGGTACGAGTGGAGATCCGAAAGGTGTTGTGCTTACACATGAAACGGTTGCAAACTTTGTAAGGGGTATGGACTTGTTCATGGAACAGTTTGAAGACAAGGTAAATTAAGCCAGGGGACATGTGTACAAAGTTTTTCTTTTTTCTGGTATAGTGAGAGATTTCTGATTCTGGGTTCTTGAGTATGTAGATGACAGTTGATGATGTGTACTTATCGTTCCTACCGCTTGCACATATCCTAGACCGAATGATCGAAGAGTACTTCTTCAGCAAAGGCGCTTCGGTTGGTTACTACCATGGGGTATAATAATGTAGCTTCTCCATTCAAGATATGCACATTTCACTGTTCATTGTTTGTGGATTTGTAATTCTGTTCTGTTTTCTTCAACTGTTTGAAGGATTTAAACGCGTTGAGGGATGATTTGATGGAACTGAAGCCGACATTTTTAGCTGGCGTGCCTAGAGTCTTTGAGAAGATACATGAAGGCATGCAAGAATTTCTTTTACAGTCATTACAAGTAAAGCAGAAAAAAAAATTATCTGGTTGTTGAAGTTAAAACATTTTCCCCCATTCTGCAATTCAGGTATAGTGAAAGCATTAGACGAACTTAATCCAATCCGAAGGAGGGTTTTCGATTTTCTCTACCGATAGTAAGTATGGCATTCCGCCGAATCCCAGCCAAAAACAACTCAATGTTACTTAGACACAGACTGTTGAAATTGTCCCAACTGTTAATAATGCAGCAAGCTAGCCTGGATGAATATGGGTTACAAGCAAAAGTACTCCTCGCCATTGGCTGATCTATTAGCCTTCAGAAAGGTTTTTCCTTTCACTAAGAAGCAAGCTTTACTAGTACTATTTTCTGTGTTCCAACATTAATGAAAATGTATGTATCTTCTGGTGTATTTGCCACAGGTGAAGGCGAAACTAGGAGGCAGACTTCGTCTAATCGTATCAGGAGGAGCTCCCTTGAGCTCTGAAGTAGAAGAATTCTTGCGGGTTACTTGCTGCGCTTTTGTAGTCCAAGGCTATGGTACTAATACTATTTCATAAGATTGGACCTTCCTTACTATTTGATAATATAATAATTCCATGAAAGCACAAGCTTAATACCAAGTGTTCTGTTTCTTGCAATGCAGGATTGACTGAAACTTGTGGGCCAGCAACCCTAGGCTTCCCGGACGAGATGTGCATGATGGGAGCAGTGGGAGCTCCGGCAGTGTACAACGAGATACGACTCGAGGAAGTGCCCGACATGGGGTACAACCCACTTGGGGAACCACCTTGTGGTGAGATCTGTGTGAAAGGGAAGACAATGTTTGCTGGTTACTACAAGAACCCTCAACTCACTACTGAATCCATTCAGGATGGATGGTTCCACACAGGTTTTTTTCTTGGTTGATTAATTCCTTTCTTACCTACTAACTTACACAAAAAAACCAACCATCCTCTTGCTTTAGCTGCTTACTTACCTATGGTGTTGGTTATTCAGGGGACATTGGGCAAATATTGCCAAATGGGGTGATCAAAGTGATTGACAGGAAGAAGAACCTGATTAAGCTGTCACAAGGAGAGTACATTGCTCTAGAGCATTTGGAGAATGTGTTTGGGATCACTCCCATCGTCGACGATGTGATGGAAAACACCCTTTTTTTTTCCTGAATCCTAAACCCTAAACCCTTTGCTTGTTCTTCGGTCAATGTTCTTTAACCGTCTTGTTTGATTTGTTTCTGTAGATATGGGTGTATGGAGACAGCTTTAAACCAATGCTGGTTGCAGTTGTGGTGCTGCATGAAGAGAATGCTATGAAATGGGCTAATGCAAGTGGCTACAAGGATTCATTCCATGAGATCTGTTGCCTTGAACAGCTAAGGCAACATGTTTTGTTGGAGCTCAAGTCAACTGGTGAGAGGAATAAGGTACAGATTTCTGCCATGTGAATTGAAGGCAAGATCGATAGTATATATATATACACACTAACTTCTGTTGATTTGGGATTCTGCTGTGGAATAAAACGAATGATGAAAGCTGAGGGGGTTTGAATACATAAAGGGGGTGATATTGGAAGCTAAGCCATTTGACATTGAGAAAGACCTGGTCACTGCCACTCTCAAGAAGAAAAGAAACAAGCTGCTCAAGTATTACCAGGTAATTGGAACTTGGGTTTTTTATTAATTTATAATGAAACTATTACGTACCTTTCTTGGTTTAGTTTTGGTTTTGCTGAAATTGGATCTCTTCTTCTTCTTCTTCTTAAAGGCTGAAATCGATGGACTTTACCAGAAATTGGGAGCACAGCGTGGGCGTTGAACAGAGGGATTGCGGATGCAATAGTTGTGTTTCTTGATTTGCACGGTGACTGAACTTAACCAAGTTTGTGAAACAATAAAGCAAATGCAGCTTGCCATATGAGAAGTCCTGCCTTGACATTGGTCTTCGTCTAGTGAGCAAGGGTTTGTTGATGCAACCTCTAGTAAGTAAGGTGAACAAAAAGACCCGCAGATCGATCCACCCTTTCAGCCTTATTAAACCCATTTTTATTTTTGTCGTTAATTTTAGAAGAAATAGCATATTATTGATGTGTTCGTTTGTATGACCTTTTTAACTTATGTTTGCAAACATTTGTGGAAAAAAAAACTGGACATATGTTAAAAGCAAATTGCATTTCTTTAAAATTCCAAATAATATCCATGCAGTTAGATAATTTTCATCTCGATTTAGTTGAGTTTTTGTTTAAAAGTATCATCATAATCTTACAAATCCATAAGGTTCTGGTGGGTTTAGATTTAGTATTTTCAAAATCGTAATGTAATTAGTGATATTATAAACAAACCGTAAAATTCCTTTCTATTTTTTATTTGAGTTTAGTATTTTCAAAACCGTATCACCTAATCCATACACATGGGTGGATCCAAGTGGGTGAAAGGGTTGTCAATTGACAAACCTTGGATCCAATTTGGGAAACCAAAATCACTGTAAAATTTTGTTTTAGTGATTATAGTATTCAAATGTAAGATTATTTGACAACCCTTAATGATTTTGATCTATAATTGAATACCCTTGATTACATTTCTGGGTCCGCCACTATCTATACACCTAGGGGTGTACATGGGTCGGTTGGTTCAGGTTTAAGTATTTTAATCACCCAACCCATGCACTACGGTTTGAGAATTATCAAACCCAAACCCACCCAAAAAAATGTAAATCCTACAGTTTGTTTCTAATTGGGTTGGGTCGGGTTGACAATATTTTTAAGTAAAAACCCACCCCAACATAAAATATAAAATTATTATACACCATAAAAATATTTTATAACTAATTAAAATTTCAAACAAATAAACCGAGGTGAAAGGTATCAAAATTCACAAATGTTGTTTGAGTTTTAATAAAATGTGATTTACTTCAACATATGTATAGTTTTTTTCACGATATTTGTTGAAATAGGCTAAAAAATGTTATTCTATTAAAATTACACAAGAAAAAGGATTACGTGAATCATAATTATATTCAATTTATGTCTAAACCTTAAGTCGAAGAATGCATTAGATTAGGGAGACCATGATAGAAAAACATGGCGAAATATCTTAATTTTCACATAAGTATGGCTATATACGACATAAATATTTTTCAGATACGAACTCATACTAATAGTTGGAACACGGGTTGGGTCGGGTTCTACGGGTTGTGTAATCCAAAATCCTAACCCAACCCAAAAGAGGCGGGTTGTACAAAAGAAAATCCTCACCCAACACAAAACCTTCGTTTTAGCGATAAATACGGGTGAGTTGAGTCGGGTTGGACGGATGGGTCGATTTGCGGGTGTGTTTGTTCACCCCTATATACACCCCTAACAAAGTAAATCATTTTATACAATATTACAAGAAACCCATCTTCATATCTTGCAAGTAATTTGCAAGATTGTCAACCAACCGGTCATTCGTCTCCCTGTCTCCAAACGTCCCCTTAGCAGCCTTGACGGCGCTCCTCCACGGCTCGCCTGACTCTTCCACCATGGCCGCTGCCACCGTCGCCGCCACCGAATCGCCGGTGAACGATCCGTCGCCGTCTCGTCTCGGAATCTCCATCCCCAGTTTTTTCCCCGCCAGCAACCTGGCATTAAGCCCCTGGTCGTTAATCATCGGAAGCAATATCAGTACCCTGCCGAAAGCCAAGCCTTCCACCACCGAGTTACACCCGCAGTGAGTCAGGAACCCTCCGACCGAGTCGTGGCTCAGTATCTTCACCTGCGGGGCCCACTCCGTGTACACGATCCCCCGACCCGCAACCCGCTCCACGAACCCGCCCGGCAGCATGGCCGCCGCGTCCCGGGTCGACCCGGCCGCGTACCTCCGCAGCGCCCAGAAGAAGGGCAGCCCGGACTTTTCCAGTCCCAGAGCCAGCTCGGCGATTTCCTCTCCGGCCAGCGAAACCTCCGTTCCCAATGCCACGTACACAACCGAGTTGACTCGCTGCTCGTCGAGCCACTCCTTAATCTCACCCCATACGGCTGATCCACCTTCATCCGACTCTTCACCGGTCACCGGCGGCAAGAACCCGATGGGTATAATCCTCTTTTCGTGAATCCGATCGAGAAGGTCGAACCAATCCGGTTCGAACGCCGGCGAGCTCCGCACGATCACGGCGTCGCTCTCCTCCACCGCGACGCTGAACCGGATCTGATCGGATGGCCCCGAAGAATCCTCCTCCGTTTTCTCCACGTACTTCGTGATTTCGTGGAGGCGATACGCCACGTCGGATTCGAACGGCACCCAATCGGGGGCCACCGTGAAATCCTCCGCGCTCGACCGCGAATCCACGAACCCCGGGGCGCCGGTGAACGAGATCGTCGCGGCGGTGAAGAGGCTGAAGAAGGCGCAGGAGATCCGGCGGCCGGCACCCGCGGCGGCGGCGGGGAGCCAGTGGGAGGCGTAGTCGTAAACAACCCAATCGGGGTTCAATCGGCGGAGCAATTCGGTCAGCGGCGGGCGGAGGGAGTCGAAGGCCTGCTTGAGAAGCTGCTGGTGGTTGTAAGGGACGTCCATGGAGGATTCGGCCTGCGGCGGGAGGTTGGGGACGGGAGGTAAGGGGAAGGAGACGAGGGTCATTTGGGAAGAGAGGTGTAGGGGTATTTTGGGTAGTCGGGAGAGGTTTCTGGGAGTGGAGACGAAGTGGATCCTGTGGCCCTTTTGGGCTAGGAGCTTGGAGAGGTGGAAGAATGGGATTAAGTGGCCCATGGCCAGCCATGGAAACATCACTATTTCTAATTTGAGACTGTTACTATCCTTGAGGTCCGCCATTGAAGAAGATGGGAGGATGAAACTATGAAGAGAAATGGATGTTAGCCTGTAACTTGGTTCGAATTTGGAGGGTTGAATTGATTCATCGTATGAATTTGTATGGTGGGTGGATGGAAGTGCCAAATTGGCTACGGCTCTTGGATATGACCCATAATAATAAACAAACTCATCTTCTGTCGACTTTGATCAATGTTATGGGTTTATTTCATAATGGAGAAACGATGAATTATTAGGTACACTGAAGCTGACTGGGTGAACTGGAGTTTGACTGGTTCGGGTTAATTGTGTACCCGTTTTCATGTGTTTGATTGTCATTTCTATTGATTGGGTCGTTTGGATGGATCAATATAGAAATGAGTCAATTTGATCTATTGTCTCGTTTTATAAACGAGACAACTAAAACGAGTCAATTCGAATTACCTGCCCTCACCCCCATGTAATTGAAATTGACTCAAAACGGATCAATTCAAAATACCTCAGGCAGATTGATCCATCCAAATTTTTTTGTTGGCAAACGAGGCAATTTGGTACAATTGTCTCAAAACAAAACAATTGTATCAAATTGATCTGTTACAATTCCTCATCCAAACGACTAGGTTATATTGATTGTTCCAAGCGAAAGTTACTGGCCAGCCGGCCGATTCTTTCATTGCGTTGGGGAATTAAAACTGTCGTTGGTTTTTTCGTCGCCCATTAAAATTAAAAGTTGTTACCCATGACGATCTTACCCGCATATTTACTGTATGCCAAATTTTTGGTCTTGCTTCAAAAGACTTAACAATTGCGGGATTTTTCCAGAAATAGCACCTTTAAAAAAAATTACAAAAATAGCACCCATCCGTAAAAATTTACACTAATAGCACCCTTTTTAATAGAACGCACCTTGTAGATGCGTTTTATATTTAAATCGCACCCTAAGGGTGCGTTTTACAAATAGATCGCACTAGTAAGGTGCGTTCCAATTTTCTGGACTCAAATCGCATTTTGGCCAAGCAGTTTTAGGTCTGACCTACTGAAACCGCTTGGCCGAGGTGCGATTTTAGGTCTGACCTATTAAAACCGCATCATAAAGGTGCGGTTTGTTTCTCCCAAACAAAACCGCATCCTCATGGTGCGATTTTGCCATACAAACCGCACCTTGAAGGTGCGGTTTTGGTCAATCAATTTCCGACATGCCATGCAGACGTAACAGACGTGGGTCTGCATGGGCCTGCTTGGTAGACGAAAACCGAACCTCTAAGGTGCGGTTTTCATCAGTGATTTTGCCTATAAAAGGCCTCCCGGACAACCACTTCTCTTCACACATCTCCTTCTCCCTTTTCAATTTTCTGTTGTAGCTCTATATTTCTTTAGTAGTTTTGCGATTAAAGTTAACTCATAAGTTGATTTAGTATTACTTTTTATTGTTATTTTTTATTTTTTATTTTTATCGAGGTTGTCAAACCGGTTTATGCCAGTGTGCCGGTTTAGCAAGTGGAATGGTTCAACCGGTGACACATACCGGTTTGTGCCGGTTCATGCCGGTCAATATTACAAATAAAATTATAAATACTCATATTTAAACATGACATTTAACGTCAATACCTAAGCATTTATACTTGAATCGAACAAATAACATCAATATTTAACTTTTATACTCATAAAATAAATCATAAAATAAATTTTATTAATTAAATTCTCTAAAATAAAGTCATTTTACTTAGAGATTCGTATATCGATCGTGCCGGTCATACCGGTGGTGTCACGCCGGTTTTATGACCGGTACCGATTGAACCCGATACAACCGGTGGCACGCCGGCCGGCGTGACAACCATGATTTTTATGATATTAACTGAACTACGGTTTTATCGCAGATGGCATTCCAAAAGTTCACGCTTGGCTTACGGTGGAATGGTTACACGGAAGAGACCGGAAAGGGGGTCACCTACGTAGGTGGCAATTTTCAGAAGATAAAGGTCGCTACCAGACCGCTGCTTGAAGACCTCCATCAAATGTGCACTAACGTTACTTGCATGGATGGCACGAGAAGAGTTGATCGTATGGTGTACCGATATCCAAACAGAGAAAGTGGGTCATTGTGGCATGAGGAATATCTCATAACCACTCAGGATGAGGTAGACGCCATGCTCGAATTCATGAGGTCCAACAATCTTTCCAAAGTCGAGATGTTCGTTTACACCGAGCCGGTCGTAGGCGTTGGAGGTCATTCTGGACACGGTCAAACATCTGGTATCCATGGTGGAGGTGAATTATATGGCGATCATCCCTACCAAAGTTACCATGATCCTCATTCATATTTTCAGTACCAAGAGCAAGGTGAAGGTCATCATCAATCATATGAAGAAGAAGTTCAACCGGACCGGCCCAACCAACCTCAGTACAACTTCCACTCAGGCAGCGGGGATGATCACTCACGCACACCGGTTTGCCGTCGATGGGGAGATGGGTTAGGATGGCGACATCCTTTAGCGTGATGGTGGCCTCTCCTTCTCTAAAGTTGAAACAATGGGTCTCCTTTCTCCATCTCTCAACTAGGGCGGTGATGAGTTGGCGATCAACTTTGATGCCGTTAAAATGCCTAATCGGGTCCAACCATGCCCTTTTGAGAAAGGGCAAGATAGCTGGGTGGAATGGGAGGACATTGATCGTACCCTGTAGCGGATTATTGTTTGTGCCTCCTAGGGAAAATTTACATGTTAATTATTATATATTAGTAAGGGTTTATTCCTTATATATTAGTAAGGGTTTATTCCTTATCATATAAAGATATTTCATAGAATTAACATAATAGCATTCTAAATTAATAATAATTTAAAGAGATACATACATATTATCATAAAACAAACATCCTGAATTAATTAACATAATAACATTCTAAATGAATAATAATTTAAAGAGATACAAACATATTATCGTAAAATAAACATACTAAATTAACTAAATTAAATGACATTGTTAATGAATCATAATTTAAAGAGAAACATACATATTCAAATGTTTGAAATTAATAAAATTCCTTTTGTACACATCAAAATAAATCGTAAGGGTTGTTTGGTAAATTATTTAATCGTGTTGGTTGTTTTAAATAATTTAATCGAATACAATGCAACACTCGTTAGACTCTTAGAAGAGGTATACATCTTCTTAGAAACGCAGTCTTTTTGATAGAAAAAGGGGGGATCCGAGGATCTCTTAATACCCGATTTTCCCAGGGAATGGGAGGATATGATAATCGCTTAAAACCCCATTTCCTTAGACGTGCATCTCTTTATAAAGAGTCGAAGTAAGTGGCGCTATGTATTCGATTAAATTATTGAAAACAACCGACACGATTAAAAATTCAACATAAATTTATTTTATATTCCACTAAATACATTAACAAAATAAAAGAAGGACAAATGGTAAAGAATTGTATGTACCGGGTGAGCGTTCCAAACATCCCTTGAGCGATGGTTGGGTTGGTCGTACAAGTCGGTTGGATCCAACGGTCCTTGCTCGAGATAATACCGTTGGTTGTATATATCCACGTCCTCCCCAACCTACGAGAAAATAACAACGAGGTTAGTACATAGATTAATTAAAAAGCTTATAACAACAACAAAAATTAAACCAGAATAATGAGTACGTACTGCTTGAAATTCATCAACATAAACTCCTTCTCCTTGCCACCATTCGGTTATTTTTTCGGCGCAATTCGGACAGAGCTTCGGCTCGGCTCGGCGGGTTTTGATGAAAAAACCTAAGAAATGTTTTCTGATGGCAGATCGGACTTAGCCGCAACCAACAGACCACTAATTCCTAGGATTTTGGGAGGGGGAGGGTTTAGAGAGATAAATTGTAGAGAGAGAAGGAAGAATGGGTTGTGGTGTGAAGAAATGAGAGGGGAAGGGGGGTATTTATACCCATCATATCGCACCCTCCAGGGGCGATCGGGGTAATTTTCCCCTAGCGCGAATCGCTCTCTTCCAATGCGATTTGCGCTTCCCTAGGCGCGGATTGCTCCGCTGGCAAGCGATCTGGAATCCTCGGCGCGGATCGCTCCGCTGGCAAGCGTTGAGCCGCCCGATCGTCCCTCCTTCCAACGATCTTGAAGATCGTTCCGCAGCAGCACTAAAACACACTGACCTATTGCGATTTGTTATATGGAACGCACCCCTCTGATGCGTTTTATATGTAGAACGCATCTTTCCGGTGCGTTTTACCTTTAAAACGCATCTTAGGGGTGCGTTCCAAAAAAATTGGTGCTAGTTTTGTAAAAAAATTTATATGGGTGCCAGTTTTGTAAATTTTTTTTTAAAGGTGCTATTATTGGAAAAAATCCCAACAATTGCTTTGTGGAGAATTATACACTCAGTCGACCTCTAAGGGAGCATAACGAACTTGATGTCACCTTGCGTAGCATTTGTGTGCAGAAGTATAGAGTGTCTTCTCAATTATCCATAGACATTGTAGTTAATGTATTTTAACATATATCAAACTACGAAAATCTAACCTAGCGCGCACTACAGGAAAAGTCACCTTGGATCACTGGATTTCCCGTAACTGAACAGTCAATTCTCGTGACGGAAAGAATTTGTCACGATATATTCCCGTATCAAGCATGCCCGTGATCAAAGGTAAAATATCACGGGAAATCCCGTGACAGAGAAGATAAAATAAGAGGAAAAATCCCATGAAAGAAGCTCTATTTTGTCACGGTAATTCTCGTGACTAAATTGTGAAATATTCATGGGATTTCCCGTGACTTCTTGGGTTATTCGTTACGGAGTTTTGTCTCAATGGTCAGAGAAACCCCGTGATGGTTGGTCCTTACTAATCAGAGGAAAATCAAGTGATGGATACTAATCAATAGTCACTAGAGAAACCTGTGATTGTGGTACATATATCATGTTTTTGTTCCAGCCCACCAACAATCGTGGAAAACTATTCTGATTGTTGTTTAACAATCAACAAGTAAGAGGAATATATTCCTGTAATAAAATGGTCATTTTCGGTCATGTGAACTTACCCATGACAAAATTTCCCCGTAATTAAAGATCGATTTTCTTGTAGTATAGTAAAATTTTCATTTTACATTCATGTCGTAGCTCACAACTCAGACTTTTTATAAAACAAAGATGCATTATTTGATGCCTAAACTGAGAAATACTTTTTGTCATTCTAAAAATAATTTTATATGAGTGAATTTTTTTATTTAATATTTTATGTTAATTAGTGTTTATATTTTCAAATGTTTTACAATCTTCTAACTACTTAATTCATGATTTAAAAGTAATATTTGTGTTACTTGTTGATTATTATATTAATAAATATTTATTTCATGTATATTTTGTTGGTGAGTAATTAAATCATCATAATTTTCCTTCGGGGATAACTATGGCAAAAAAAGAGATCATTCTAGTTTTGTGTTGTTTATAAATCCTTTATATTTTAGGAGAAATTTTTATGATATGGTCGGTATACTTTGTGTAATATTAATTTGTATATTTTTTTATGGTAGTTATTCATTTGTAATGCAAGTAATATTATTGTGTACAATGGTTTGTACCTTCAAGTTCTATCGATTAGTAATTTTTATAGTGATATTTTCTATTTTTAGTATTTTTGGTATATAATTTTAACTTGATTTGTATACTTATATGATGTGGTTCTGGTTTGTATACTTTTTAATATTGCTTTGTATACTTTTATGATATAGTTTGTATAGTTTGTATTTTTTATTAGTATACTTTTATAATTTATTTTGTATACATGGTAATATTAGTTTGTACATATTTATGATATAATTTGTACACTTTTATATTCTGTTTTTTAAATAACATATTATTGATTTTTTCATTTTTATTATAATGTTTGTACATTATATGTTTTACTTTGTATGATTTTCAGGTAAGAATTGTAAATTTTGGATGTTACTTTGTGATTTTTATTTTAAAAATTAAAAAAGATGATAAAAAAACAAAGAAAAACGCACGAGAGAGGGAGGATTAAAAATTATATAATATTAGTGATTAATAAAGAAACAACCACTTAAAAAAGGCGACTAAAAATTGCTTTGCGGTTCTCGGAGTAAGCGATTCCGCACACTCGTAACCCTAGCGGCTGCCATCGTAGGCCATGGCCGGCCTGGCGCCAGAAATCTCCCTGGTAGTCCAGCCGCTGGATGCCACCTCTAGATAGCGTCGCCCTCCCTCGGCGACGTCATCCCCAAACAGCAGGTGAGAAAAAGAATCGCAGCAACCAAAGAAGAAAGTGAAGGCGATGCGCGCCAACCCTCTCTTCGATACGCAACCAATGGAGGAGGAACAGGTACTCGGTGAGGAGCACCACGAGCAGATTAAGGGTGATGACCCTGTGAACAATCCCCCGCCGTCGACATGGGGCGCGGGACCGACAAGCTTTTTTCGACCATTCACTACGGAGGAATGGTATGTAGCTGAGTCTGACTCGGAGGAGTGGCGGAAGCCATGCGTGAGGACGATCTAGACGATGAAATACCCGAGGATGACAACCCGCGATGTCCCACGATCCCCTTCAAAGCTTTGGAGAAGCAGAGATATCGGCAATCCTGGAGGTCAACGCTCATCGTCAAAGTGATGTGTCATACGTTTCCCTTCCCCATCATCTCGAAACGACTAGAAATGCTTTGGGTAAAAACTGGAACTATCCAAATTTCTAGTCTTTCGTATGGGTTCTATGTTGTTCGCTTCAAGAATCAAATGTATTATGAGCAAGCTTCCATGGGAGGGCCATGGATGATCGACAATCACTATATTACAGTGAGGTCGTGGCGTAAGGGTTTCAACGCCAAATTTGCGGAAGTGGCGACGACCCTTGTTTGGGCTCGCCTTCCGGAGCTGTCCGTCGAGTTCATAAATCGCGAAGCGGTAGAGAGGATAGCTTCTCGAATTGGCCGCCCGGTCCGGGTTGATCGTGCTACCACCACTGGTACTCGCACAAAATATGGCCGAGTTAGCGTCGAGGTGGATCTTACTAAACCCCTATTGGGCAGTATAAGATCGAGGGGCGGACATACTATGTGGAGTACGAAGGGTTTCATAACATTTGCACAAAATGTGGTATGTATGGCCACTCGAAGTCAACCTACCCGTCACTAAGGAAAGTGCAACCGGAGAGTCCGGTGGAACCTCAACCAAGTCCCAAAGCTACTACTACTCCCCCGACTGCCTGTGGTGATGAATGATGGTCAAACTGAAGTCAAAACCTAACGGGAGGACAAACCCCCAGTTGCATGGGAGTGGAGCTACACCGACGCCACAAGTCACGTCTATACCTGGTGGCTACGCTTCTCGGCACTAGTTGAGGAGGAATCATCACAAATGGATATGGATAATAGTGGTAATGGTGGAACTTCCTCAACCATTCTCGAAGGTATGCAGGTACAGGGAGAAGGTGCGGGGGTAGAGTCTAACCTCTCCAAGTGTACTTCTTCTTCTCCTGTGGCGTCTCAGGCCGCGATGTCGCTGAGCACAACACCTTTGCCTGAACAAGTTTCACTGGGACTGGATAGAAAGGATGCGAGTGGAAATACCAAAGGTTGGTGAGTGTCCCTATCCATTATGTGCCTCTTGGGATTGGTAGGAAGGCGGAGGCTAGCCTGAAAGTTGTCAAATCGGGGGGCAAGGAATTACCTGCATCAGCGGGTGCTCAGAAGGGCCAGAATCATACCAAGGGTCAGAAGGCTACCAAGCGTGGGGCGAGTAAGACAACCGAGAAAGGTTAGACCCCATCCCAGGGTCAAACTGGGGTGTCGGGTACGCGGAGCACATCCTTGAAGGCTCCTGACAACAAGTGTTTGGAGGGCACCTCCCTCTAAGCAAAGGAGAAGGGCAATTATTTCACACTTCATCATTCCCCCCCCCCCCTCTTTTAAATGTGTCTTTTCACTCTCTCTTTGCCTTCCTCATTCTCTTTCTGTTTGTTTTTTATCTCTCTCTGAGTTTTGTATCTCACCACTCTCACCATTCCCTTCCTCTTTCTTCCCACTGCCTGAAATCAAGAGAAACCGAGAAACATCCCAATTACTTCTCCAACTTTGCGTTCGAAAATGCTTCTTCTCCATTCACGGTCTATAATGTGAATCAGAGCACCTGAAACTTGGCGAACAGATGGTCGCTTATTCATCGATGGAGCAAATTAGTTTCATAGCTTGTGAATAAACTAATTACTAAAAGTGATAAAAACAACTCTCGATAAACCAATTGAGTGAGTGCATAGTAGTTCACCGCTTAAACCATTTTATTTATCTAAAGAATTAAAATGCATAATCAGGTTCATCTTCATTAGACATGTATTTGTCGTACAAATTCATTAGACATAAAAAAATGGTTTTGAACCAGCATATCAAACTAAATCTCATCTTATGATTGTTGGATCCAATCATGTCATATTAGCAAGAGGTCTAAGGCTATTGGTCAACCAGGTTGAAAGTTAATACTAATTTAAGATTTATATATCGCTTCCAAATGTTCAATACTCCAACTTTATATGCAATATTCGAACAGATATATGAGTTTCAACCCCTTCCTCAAATTTTTTGGACTATAAAAAGCTCAAAACACACACACACTTCCAAAGAGATACTAAATCTCAATTTCTTCTTCACTTTACTTGCTTCTAAAGTTATTGTTAACATTGTTTGTTATTACTGCAAACTATATAAAAGAGCTTTTAGCTATGAAGTTAATCAAGAAGGATTTTATAAATGAGTGTTTAGTTGTATACATTGAAAAAGGTTTGAGTATCAAAATAAACAATGAATGCATTTTACAAACCTTTTTAGAATATGATCCGTCACACGTTGATGTAAAAAAACTACTCATTAATTCAAATATATATTATTTTTAGAATATATTATTTTTTATCAAATGGCGCATTTCTCTTTAAATATGAGTTCACAAATATAGACTATGTGTTGCTCGCACTTGTGCGCGAGCCCATGAAGCATTCATGCTTATACTGGGTCGATCCACACATATTATCTTCATGGTATCGTATGCGCTAACAGTGTCGTGCTAGCTCGACCATGTGCCTAGGTATAGTTATATGCATTCTAACAATTAAGTTTCTACTTATTCACAACACCAAGATAAAAAAACAGTCATAAATGTACACAGTATCTGGTTTTGACTACCAGATGAAATATTACATTTGAACCAACTACCACTGATGTCACAAATAATAAGTATACCTCTAATTCATACATAAAATACTTCAATCATAAAAAATATTAATATTAAATTAATTATTATGA